AGTACTCTTTACATGCATGCATGGAGTAGTCGCGATTTTTGCAGGGATGCTATAACCAAAACCATATAAATCAAGTTTCAAACGTAATGCAAAATTTAGAAAAATTCAACGACTATTCATGAAAATTTCGAACCATTTAATCTGAGTTATTAGAAGAATTAGGGTATGTCGTGTTATAGCCGATACCATTTTAGTACAATTAAGTGCGAACGGCTAAAAATTCGCGTTGATTTTTCTTTTTTTTTTTTTGCAGGCGCTCGTTTGCACTTTCTTCCAATATAAATATAAATTTTGTATGGAAGAAAATGCGCGAAACCCTTCATAAAAAATTTCAAAGAATCGACTCGCTTTTCGTAGACTGCAGACCGGTAGAAAAAAATAAAAACATCGCGAATTCTTAGCTGCTTTAAACATGTGTTGCATTATCACGATTGTCCTTGATTTAATTGCTGAATAACAAAATCATTCAGGTTCGTTTCACTGGATTATTAAATAAACGCTGAAATTACAGTACAACTATCTTTATTGAACAACAAACACTTTGCAATACATGTAAAGGCAGTTCTGTATATACAATACTTGCAATTTACAACTGAGTTTTTTGTGCGCTGTAGCAACGTCTTTATATACCCGCGTCGCTTCGCATTTTTGGAAACTCTAAGTAGAAGGTTCCTATCGAAAGCTCCCGTTATCGAATATTCCCGTCCTTCTACTTAAATACCCAAATTATTTCTATTTAAAAATTCACATTAAAAAAATTCGTAAAGTTTTTAAAATGCCCAAAACTTGAAAAAAATCTACGTACATTTTGGAAGTTTGAAATTTTTAAAAAGTTCAAAATTTTCAATAGGTTCAAAATTAAGAAAAAAATCAAGTAAAACATCGAAATTTTGATTAATGTTCGAGATTTAAAAAAAAAGTTCGAAATTTAGCAAAAAAATTTAATTTTTTCTAAATTAAGTATAAAACTTGAAACTTTGATTTATATGATTAAAGCGTGAAAACCATTGTGAATACTACAAACGAAAAATCATCTTGTGAGCTCTTGTTCAAGAATTTTGAAAGAATTCAAAATTTTGAAAAAAGTCAAATTTTTTCGAAAAGCTAAAAATCCAGGAAAAAGTTCGAAACCGAAAGATCGAAATTTTGATAGAAGTTCGAAATTGAACAAAAAATTTTAATTTATTCTGATTTTTGTAAGCAGTATGAAACTGATTTGTATGGTTTGGGTTATAGCGTCATAAACATTGCGAATATTACAAACAAAAACAGTATACTCCAGCTATATAAAGCGCTTAAAAGACTGGCAGTGGGAGGTTAGTACTAACGCTGTCGACTTTGTATAAATAATTTGAAGTCAACTTAGCGCTTTTTACCTGCCAAGCAGTAAATTTACAAGACCTCAATCGATTATAAAACCTACAAGCTAACGAAACTTTTTGTTTGAATTAATTTCTGTTTTATTTATTTTAAAGCATAATATTTTTCTATGAAAATTCAAAAATTTTAAACAGAGAGTCCATAAATAGGTAATTCGAAACTTGTGTGACATATTTGTGAACTTATTTGGAGTTAGATACTTCATTTTTTTCCTTCAGTTATAAATCAATATTAAAAACAAAAAACGTTGAACAAATTAGGATATAAACAAAACTAAACATTTTCTTCAAGTCAATAATATTAACCTAATTTACTACATACTTATATTTAAAGACATAATTCATACCTTACTTTAAGTTACCATTACTAACATATAATACATACATACATATTAATAGTTAAATTACAAATTTATTTTTTGACTAAACATGAATAGAAATTTATAAATTTTGAAAGGTTTAGATTCCCTTTACACTAAATTCTACTTATAAAATAAAGGAAATATTGGCGCTTTCTATGAGTTAAATCACGGCGAATTCATATAAGGTAATAAACACAAACATAGAAATAAAAACATTTTGATTTTGCTTTTGGTAGACAAATGTCAAATTTCAACTATTCATCTCTGAAGACAGAGAAGGAAAAGAAAATACAAATAATCTCATATACTCACTATGGCGAAATATAAAATTTTGACATTTGTGTGCCATGGCAAAGCAAATCAGCTGTTTAACTACACCACCTTATATGAATTCGCTCAAGCTTAGACCAACGTACAGTGCTATAAGTAGCGTACGTAGCTCTTTTGCCGAGGGAGCGATTTTTTGACAATCAGCTAATAGCGTTTTTATTTATAAGACTGTACGATGGGCCTTGACATTTGATGATATGACGTCATAATGCTATTCCTAACATTTACTAAGAAAATAATAAATTAAAAAACAGAAAAATAATATTTCACATCAAAAATGAGTCGGCAAAATTAAATGTCAAATAATTAAACGAAAAATAATAAAAATCTTCTCAAACGAAAACAGGACACGCGCCTAAAAGCATGCCACTGCAAATAATGCTTACATAGAAACAAATATAATACTAAATCATAAAAAAAAACATACACAACAAAATTTGACTCCAACGAATATTAGTAATAAAATAAATTGCGCCAAATGAGTTGCGCATATTCAAAATAAATTAAATTCTAGTCATCTATAAATATCGACGATTTACGCGTTGCTGCGGTGACATCAATATCGAATCGCCATAAACTTGTGTATCAATTCCAGACGATAAACCACTTGGGCTAATGGGACTCGTGCGTTGACCTGCAATGAAAAATCGAAAGCGTTTAAATAATGTTGTCTGTATATTGCAAATTGCGAAACGAGCGTTAAGGATTTGCATATACATGTACAGTGGCGGTCATTAGTGGATGAATGGTGTTTCGTTTTTCATATTTACAATGTTTTTCAAGCAAAATTTTTTTTATTTTTTTATAAAAATATGGTTCATGCTTTAACAAAATCAATATGAAACACACTTTCAAACTTTAAACAGAATTTAGAAAAATTCCACAAATTTTTATCTACATTTCGCGCTTTTTAATCACAATTTTTATACATTTTTTGGGTGTGCAGTTAACAGGCTTACAAAATTTTGGTAAAATAAGTGCAAGTTTTGAGCGGCTAAAAAATCGCATTGATTTTTAATATTTTTTTTTTTTTGTGTTGACGGCGTTTTGCTCTTTTAGAACGCTTTCTTCCATATAAACATGAATTTCTTGTACGAGCAAGACCATTTTCGAAACTAAATAAATAAATAAGTCAAAGCCAGTTTTCCGAAATTTCGCTGTTTATTTGAAAAAAAAAAAAAAACTGCAAGAGCCGTCAGCAAAAAAAGTATCAAAAATCAATGCTCAAAACTTGCACTAAAATTTTATAAGTCTGTTAACTGCATACCCAAAAAATCTATAAAAATTCTGGTTAAAAAGCTCGAAATTTAAATACAATTTTGTGGAATTTTTCTAAATTTTGTTTAAAGTTTAAAAGTGTGCTTTGGTTAAGGCATGGACCATATTTTCATAAAAAATATCAACAAAATTTTTGTTTGAAAAACACTGCAAATATGAAAAACGAAACACCATTCATCCACTTTTGACCGCCACTGTATGTATTTAGCTTTGCTCAGGCATTTATACACTTCTACATACTTAAAAATTTTAGAATTGAGCTGCTAAAAGTTTAGAATAGAAACACTTACCATAATAGGGTGATAGATTGGGATAGATTTGACCGACTGGACTGCCTTGTGTTGCTGATGTTGTTGGCGTGCTGGCAGTGCGCGACTTATTCTTTATGGAGGTGCTGAAGACTGAAAAGAGCGAAAGAAGAAATAATGATTGTAAGTGATTTTAAATAAGTCAAATGCGAAACTTAAATTGTTTGAACTTTGACCTTAAGGTACTAAATATGCACACATACATACATACATAATGGAATTTGATAAACTGCTAAGGAAAGGACAAATATGTATTTGCATTTTACTGATATTATATTTTTAAACATTCGGGGGATATTTCACACTGGCGTTTGGCATTTCATTTAAAACTAATGGACTTTTAAATACTCAAACTCTTGACTAATCTTGTACCAATTGAGGCACATTCGTAAAAGCCAGGATAGGTAACTTAGCCCCTGATTTTGAGTTGCGATTTTGTTGTGAAAATTACAAAATTTGTATACTCATGGCGGCTACCCAGCTTAATATCATTACACTGTCGGATAGTCGGCTGGCAAATGGATGAAACCAAGTTTTCCTGAATGTCTGGATAATATATAGAAAAGTAATTTCTCTGTTTTCCCAGGTTGGCGACTTGACCCGTTTTTTTTTTTCAATTGAAGTTGGTGGTCGCAGAGCAGCTTTTAATACAAGTAAAATTTATTTCAATGCAAATATTTATATNTAGCCCCTGATTTTGAGTTGCGATTTTGTTGTGAAAATTACAAAATTTGTCTACTCATGGCGGCTACCCAGCTTAATATCATTACACTGTCGGATAGTCGGCTGGGAAATGGATGAAACCAAGTTTTCCTGAAAGTCTGGATAATATATAGAAAAGTAATTTCTCTGTTTTCCCAGGTTGGCGATTTGACCCGTTTTTTTTTCAATTGAAGTTGGTGGTCGTCGCAGAGTAGCTTTTAATACAAGTAAAATTTATTTCAATGCAAATATTTATAGCATCAAAAGGTCTTTCTTGGGGTTTCTGAGTACGAGGAATCTGAATCTGCAGTTCATTTTTAACAAAAACAGCCGCTGGCTGCGTGCGCCTTGGTGCGAAAGAAACATGAAGAAACATTGTTTAGAAACATTGTTTTGAAACATTGTTTAGAAACATTGTTGAGAAACATTGTTTGAACTGTAGTAATAGCTGGGAGCTAAATCTAGGGAATATGGACCTTAGGGTCTATAATGTCCACTTCTCTTTACAAGATTTCTGATAGACAAACCGGGGTTAGTCAGTGAATGTGCTCATGATGCGCCCACATCAGGCTCTCAACTCTCGTCACCTGTGACAATTCTTAAATTCTCTTTTGAGAGAATGCTTGGATGTTGGAATCTCTTAAATTGTATACCCCAAGTAAGCATTTCGCCTGGCGTAGGCTTTTTTCCTTCTTAGCTCATCTCTGATTGTATTAGAGCGTATTGCCATGTAGGACTCAGGCCCAATTGACATTGTGGCCGCCGTCTATCTGTTATCTTGCTACCCTAAAATTCCCTTGTGACCCGGAACCCATAGTAGAGAGATGCTATTGTGGAGTGCAAGCCAGTTAAGTCTTTCTATGCATTCGAAGACTAGCCTAGCTGATGTACCTTCGAAAGACGAAAGTGCTTTGAGTGACGCCTGGCTGTTAATGAGGATCATGATTCTCTCGTTGTTGTAGCTCTTACTCAGATTTATCTTCGCACTCTGACTGATGGCGTAGACTTCTGGCTGAAATATGCACGGGCATTTTCCAATTAGCACAGATATCCTAGCCCTTGGGCCATAGACTCCAGCCCGTATGCCCTCGGGAGTTTTTGACCAATCTGTGTACCAGTGTGGGGTACTCATCTGGATACGTCTTTCCAAAATGCTGGCGCTATATGTTCCTATACTGTGCCTCTTTTCAAATGCTATTGTCCGCGGAATCTCGGCTCAGGGTCTGAGGGCTAGCTGAGGCTGATATGCTACTGTCTCCATGTTTCTAGAAGATATGACCTTTCCTCTGAGAAAAACCTTTTCTAGCCAAATTCAGTACATTAGAGTTCGTTTAACCGGCTGCTCTACGATTACGGATTAGCGGCTCTAGCTCAAGGATTACCTACCAGTACTTAAATAGTAACCTATTTCCACCAAAATCTTAACTGCAGTTAAGAGATCAGGCAAGTTGTAAGAATGTTTACATGTGGTCATAGGCAGGGTTAATTTCTTACTTTTTGCCTTTTTACTTTCGTTAGCTTGTACTTTACAGAAGCAATCGCTCCCTTCAAGTTGTAAAATCCTTTTTTCAATAGGCACAAACTTAAGTTAAGTTAAGGCTTGGTAGAAATTTACTATTAGACTCCTCTCTTGTAAAAGCCAAGGGAAATGCTTTGGCATTTAAAAATCTAAACAGAGGCAGAGACTCGAGACCTGCGTGTGCGTACTCTTTCAGAAATACCACGCGCATGAGGCAACAGAACTCGCTTTCAGCTCATTTTCAAGTTTTACAATTCCGAAATATAAAGCAGTAAAGAATTATGTTTCCTCCAAAAACTTTCAAAAGCTCTCTTTTTTTTCAATTAATCACAAAAACTTTCCTAAATCACCATGTCCTTAACAGCAGCTTAAACATTTTGGCGCTGCGGCATTTCAGCTTTGTCGGTTGCATATTTTATTTCCTTATTTATTAGCTGCTTTGCATGCTTTCAACGGCTTAAAAGTGCCATAAAAATTAATCAGCGTTTCTATGTTTATATGTACATATGTATGTATGTATGTAAATTAATTTGCTGAAATGTTGGTATATTAATCAGGAAACTTTCTTAACTTATTTGCCCTAATGCCAACGACATGAAGATGGCCATAGAAGCATAAAAGCCAAAAAAACGTTGAAGAAACTTTTCGAGTGTCACACAAATTAAATAAGCAAAAATCGCATAAAGAAAGAAAATGGAAAAACAGAGAAACTCATTTCCAAAATATGTTTAAGAGCAATTACGAGCTTAATTGCAAAAAATATGCGCCATAAAGTTTATAAAGCATTTTATCAATTTAAAAAAAAAATATATATAAATGAATTTAGAAAGTATCAAGGCTACCGCGGGAAGGCAGCATTTATTAGCAACGAAAAAAGATGAAATAAAAAAATTATGAAATTTAAAATATTTCTGTACGCGCACAAATTAAAGCTTTTTTCACAGCAGAGCAGTCAAAAAAAATTAATTCAAGCTAAGTCTGCGAGTGTGTAGCGGGTCAGAGTAAAGGATAAGTTGCTGCCTTCATTGCAAATGCTTGCGTGCGCTCTACGCTACGCTTCGTCCGCCTCGAAAGGGGTTCAAGTAATTATGAAAGCATTGCAAGCATTTTTGGCAGTTGGCAAATACTTTCGAAATTCTTCAGCTACGCCAGCCACCATCAGCAGCACTGCCAATGCGTTGTACATAGTTGCGAGTCAGGCGACAAGGGAAGCCACTCGCAAACACATTGCTCCACAGCTACATATGTATTTCCGTTGCAAAGGTCAGGCCAGCCTCTAGGCCTTAACCAGTTATAAGCGTAGATACATAG